GGGCCGCTAATATGGGCCCGGTAGCTCAACTACATAAAAGACTAATCTAGTACATAGTTACATACAAATGACATATAAGCAGTACAATAATACAAATGATATCCGTAAGATGTGTGTGGGCCGCTGTCCGGGCCCAATAGTCATGAGACCCGGGGGTCCGAGTCTATATACTCTATCACAAATAACAAAAATTACATTAGAAGATCTGAAGCATATTTCACGATACTCATTTTTAGACTCCTATTACTCAAAAGAATAGAGATGATGCTCACCAAACTTGCATTAATGCTCATTCCAGACAAATCACATTTTTCATCAAAATTACAAAATTGCCACCGATTTTTTTTTTTGGCTTGTATTAATAGTTGGGCTGTCTTTGTTACTTGGGCCGGGTGTACGTACACCCGAATGCACCATTTACGTACTGATATATACTCCATTTTTAGTACTTGAAAGTCATATTCTTGATCTCAAATGTTAAAGTATTTGAAACTCCGAATGTTGACATAGTATGTAATTTAATCGAACCACACCTATAATGTGCGCAAATTATACCGTGGTACCGGTATACCATGCTCATCGTATACCGGTATCACATACGGCACCGTTTCTAATTTCCTGGTGGAGAGAGCTACTCATATTCTCTTTCCTTTTCCTCAGGCACTCCAGGTTTTATTGTTTTAGTTTTATTTCTCTTTTGTTTGCCCTCAAGCACTACGTACCAAATGATTTATTTCTCTTTAATTTGCTTTTTTATTTTAATTTCTTCAATTCTTTAGATTTCTCCTCTCCATAAAAATACTACATATTTAAATGTGATTTTATATTTAACTAATTAAATTACAACTAAATTAACTTCTTCATTACCATATTAATACAAAATTTTATTAAACCACATAAAATAAGTATATAGCATTAATAATCATACATTCTTTTTTTCTGTTTTCTTCAGCAGAAATTACAACCGATTTTTTTTGTGTAATAGTAGTTTTCCTTTTATACACTTTTTTTGTTAAATTTTTTTTCATATTCATTCACTTTTTCTACAATATATTTCTTATCTCTCTGTGAAAATATATATATTTCTTATCTCTATTATATGTTTTTAGTGTTTTAAGACATTAAATTATTTATTTCGATTTAGATTTCACAAAACATGAAATTATATTTTATTTTTCATATGTTGAGTTATGTTTATAGGCAATTTCTGGAATTACATTTGATAGTATATGTAATTCTTGGAATTTCTGGATGAAACTCCATATACTATCAAAATTGAGCGGTATTAGCTAATGCTTTTAGGTATTAGCTAGAAGAGAAGTATGCTAACAATTGAGTGGGATTACTTTCTCTCCATATGTAGTTCTTTTAATTAAGTATCAGATAAATGAGCTAACAATTGAGCAACATAATTTTATCTCTTATAAGTAGTGCTTTTAGGTATAGAAAGATAAACTTGCTAACAATCGAGCGAGATAATTTTCTCTCTCATAAGTAGTTCTTTTAAGTTTAAGATAATATGTCTAACAATTGACCGGAATAATTTTCTCTCGCATATGCAGTGCTTTTAGGTATAAGATAATCTGTCCAACAATTGAGCGGGAGAATTTTCTCTCTCATATGTAGTGCTTTTGGGTATATAAGAAGATAAACTTGCTAATAATTGAGTGAGAGAATGTTTCTCTCATATGTAGTGCTTTTACGTAGTACAAAAGAGAAGATAAGCTTGCTAACAATTCAACGGAGAATTTTCTCTAATACATAGTGCTTTTAGGTAAAAGATAATTTAGCTAACAATTGAGCAAAAGAATTTTCTTTAATATGTAGTTTTTTACCTATAAAATAAGTCGGCTAACAATTGAAAAGTATAATTTTCTCTCTCATATATTACAACTAATTTAACTAATGAGTAGGAAGTTCTTATTTAACTAATATTTGTCAATTTTAATATTTATTGTATTCACTTAATTAAACTTCGTGTCACTCACTTATTGTATTCTCTTTTTAAAAATAGTATCTAATTTTAAAATTAATTTAATCATAAAAATTTATAAGCATGCAGCAAATTCTAATGAGTGGTATCAATAAATTTTTCCTAATATACTCTTCATTTAATATTTATTGCATGAGCTTATACTTAATGGAATTAGCTTATTGTACTCTTATTTTTTGAAAATGTAAAATCCAAAAAAGTTATTTTTATTTTAAGATTTAATTAGATCTTGAATAAAAATATATGTACCTATTGTTCTTTCCCGATACTATACTACGTAGTACTCCTTCCGTCTCAGAAAATTCTTCTCACTTTGACTTGGCACAGAGATTAAGAAAGTGAAATCAAGTGGAAATATGTGATTGTAGTTGTGTAAGAAAAAAGTGAAATGTTTTTTGCGACGGAGGAAGTAGTATGTCATGTTTTGACGGTATTTTTTAAAATTGGCAGTAATTACTCAACAAAAACAGACCAAAAACTTTTGGCCGAAAAAAGTAAGGTATGAACCTGACGTGAATCGAACACGCAACCTTCTGATCTGGAGTCAGACGCGCTACCATTGCGCCACAGATCCCTTTTGGAAAATTCAGCTCACACTTTTTAATTATACATAGTTAGTAATGCTCTTACGTTACGGTTGTTTTATGATTTGCACCAAAACCGTTGTGTAATATTCCATTCGAGATTTATTGGATTGATGTATAAAATTAATTTAAAAATTTTCATTATGGGATGAGAATTAGTAAAGATTATTGTAATTAAAAAACATTTAATGTATGCCCCAAAAAACTAAGGGTCTGTTTACTAATATAGATATTTTTTAGTTTTCTATTTCTGTTTTCCGTTCTCCAATTTTCTGTTTTCATTTTCCAGTTTTTCTATCTCCAATTTTCTGTTTTCATTTTTTAGTTTTCCATTTTCAAATCTGAAAACATGTTCATCAATTTTTTTTTACCCGGTTCCAGAAGACTGAAAGTACAGTCCCATTTCAAAATCAAACCTAGTACAACCCAAGTAGCGTACCAGGTCCCACATATAGGAAAGTCGGGAGCGAAACCAGCAGGGCCCGGTCGATCTCAACGGTTAGTTTGACAAATTCTTTTCTCATTTCCATATTAGTTGACAACTCAATAGCACTTTCAAAACTCTTCACTTTAAAAAGTGATTTCAAATAACCAAGACCGAACCGCTGGGTCATTGACCGACCCAGACAAGGATCGCCAGGTCGTTGACGGGACTGGCCCAGGACCGCTTAGTCGTGGATCGGACCGAACAAGGACCGTCGGGTCATTGAGCGGACAGGAAAGTGACCGCTGGGTCATCAATCGGACATGATAGGGACCATCGGGCCATGGACCGGACCGAACAGGGGTCGCTGGGTCGTGGAACGGACTGGACGGGGGACTGCCGGATAGTGGACTGGACCAGATCAGGATTGCACAGTCATCTATCGGACCACAGGGCCAATGACCAGATCGGACCGTCCGTCTGGTCATTAACCGAACCAGACGAGGACCGCCGAGTAGGGTTGTATACGAACCGAATCGAGTCGAATAATGAGATTTTGTATTTGTATTTGTTTAATTTTTTCGAATATGAATTCGAATTCAAATATGAAACGAATATTAAATTTGATTTATATTTGTATTTGTTTAACAATACGAATAATTAACGAATCATATACGAATATCGAATCGATTTGAGTATAAGTTAAATATTAGTCAAATAGCACTCTAAAAAAACTTTTCTTATACTCCGTGTTTTTTATGTTGTAAATGCTTGCTATGACTTAATGTGTGTTTTTAGAATTTAAATTTAATTAATGGATCAATGCATTTTTAGATGGTACACAATATACTAAAGTTGATTAATTTTATGATTAATAAATATAAATCTATTTCAAACTTTTTGAAATATACACTAACACACACATATTAGAAATTATATATACTTATAATGTGTGAAATAAGTTGATAATTGTGTATATCAAAATCAAATAACTCCAATTTTATTATTCAAATCGAATACATAATTATTTGTATTTTATTTGAAAGACATTTGAACCAAAAAATTGATTTGTATTTGTATTTATATTATGTTTTATTACAAATGGGCTTGGAAATTGTATGCAAAAGTGTTTATATGGGTTACACTTTGAGTTTATTGTTATCTTTTAAAAGTTATTATAATGTTAATACTATTATTTTTTTTATTAATATTGACATTAATATTATCATTATTATTAATCAAATATATTTGATTAATATTCGAATCGAATAAACTGATATTCTTATTTGTATTTGATAAGAACTCGAATCAAATTTAATATTCTTATTTGTATTTGTATTTTCCGAATTCGAATAGTCTTATACGAATTCGAATCGCGAATCGAGCACAAATTATTTGATTCGTTTACAACCCTACCGCTGAGTCATCGACCATACTGGATCAGATCGGGACTACCTGCCCGTCGACGGACTGAACAGGTACCGCTTGATCGTGGATCGGGCCGGTCAGGGATTGTCGGGTCATCGATCAAACCGGACAGCGACTGTCAGGTGATCGATCGGTGACCGCCGGGTTGTGGATCGGACCGGACAATTGGGTCATCGACCGGATTGGACAGGTATCGCTGGGTCGGGTCGTCAATTGGGTCATCCACGTTTTCCAAATTTGAAAAACTAGTAAAAGTAACTTCAATAAGGAAAAAGAGGCGTATCTCATATTTTTCTATTTTCCTTTCTTAAATTTTCCATTATTTTCTTTGGTAAACACATTTTCTGTTTTCTTTTTTCCAATTTTCTAAAAATCTGGAAAATCTCTCCGTAAATCACAACACTCATGATGAAGAGAGTTTTGAACTCTTAGATTATAAAAAAGTAAAATTATTGAGTCATTATGTGGCAAAGTAAAAAAAAAAAAAAAAAAAAAAAATTGGATGCAACCCACCCGTTTTATTTCATTCTTCTTGTTATTTATACATAATTATACTTGTAAAAGCGGTATACAAGTGCAAACTAAGAAGAGAATATTACTCCACTCACTATTATTCTACTTTCTTATGTTGAAACACCTTCTTTTGCCAATACTCTGCCCTACTTGAAATCAAATTCTTTAGATCGTTGGCCTTTTGCCAAACCATGCTGTAACACCTTCGGTAGTGCACCCTAACTCGTTCCTCGGACTCCTTAATCTTGTGTTCATACTTGATGTACGTTATTGGTACTGTAAGACCACCCAACACACCTGTCTCAATTCAAACGTCAGATATTTCATCCAATTCAATATATGATGATAGCATATTTTTGAATTGCTTTAATAGAAAAAATTGTAACATATAGGTAGGTCGTACCTAGGTAGAGAAAAGAAACAAAATGGAGGTGAGTGGCAATTCGTGAGAGCAAAGCCAAAGAAGCCAAAGCTCCGGTAACGACGTGCCACGAGCTCTCCGCACCAAAACGTAACACAGAATTAACACATTGTTCGACCCGGTGGTGGAATAAGTTGGCCGTCGCCACCGCTGATTCTCTGCTAATGTGCAACCAAGGCATGTCTCTTGATGATTCTCTGAAATTTATGTATGGTCAATAATAATATGAGAAAATTCATCCTTTATCTTGAATTTTAGATTAGCTATGGACATTTTCTTTGACAAGAAAACACAAAATTTCCAAAGTAGGAGTACAAAAAATTTGGAATTTCAAAATAGAGCTAAGACAGTTATGTTTTGATTGTACTTGACTTTAAATATGGCAAAATATGGTAGTAATTAGTCCTATTATACTGTCATCTATTTTCATTTAGTGAATAAGAACATGACAGATTTAGAAGGTTGTGGTATGGTGCATACTTCCTTAGAAGCCCATCAATGTTGCCCCAAATGAACAAACAAGTAACCCCAAGCATGGCTGCCCAAGACAACACTGTAACGAAGTTAAGCCCATATATTTCTAGAGCAACCCATGCGGCTGTTGATATAAGAATAGCTGCGATGTTAAAACGTCTCCTCTTCCATCGCACAATATCTTTGATGGTTGTTTCTCGCGGCGGCGGCGGCGGCGGCAGCGGAGGAGATTCCTCCGTCGGAGAAAGAGATTCCCTTGGATCCAAGTCCGATCGCATAGTGTACGTAAATTCAATAAATTAGACTTTTGAAGTGGATAAAGGTCAACAAAACCCAAAAATAAATGACGATTTGAAGTGAAAACAGTGCGTGGTTGAAAAATGGAACGGTTGATTCTTGAAGTAGTGGATCAGATGAGAATATAAAGATCATTCAGTTTTGAGATATATAAGACACGTGGTGCCGGCCATATTAACGGAAACGTGGCGGCCATGCACGGCGACAAGGCAGCGCCACCTCGATGAGATTTCATAAATCGCGCGTTCCAATAACTCTCCATTTAAAAGGACAAATGTGGTGTGGTTTATAGATGGACACATATTATAACGGTACGGTACGAAAGTCCATTCAATTTTATTTTATTAATATTTATGCAGAATAAAGAGAAAATGAAGAAGTTGACCAATTTTTATGTGAGGGGATAAAAGTATTTGTTTTAGTAATAGGAAAATCTGAAAGGGAAATTTTTCACAAATAGACTAAAAATGAAAGTAATATCACTTTTATTCCTCTTAAAACTTTCTTTCAAATATAGATTACCTTAAAGTTCCTTTTCAAAAATGGACCATTGACACGTATGAAGCCCATAGATTAAAGTTTCTGTTTAAAGTTTCTTTTCTTTCACCTAACATGTACCCTGCATGTAAATTTGAATCACTGCTCCACTTCACAAAAACTAATAAGAATAGTACATATAACGTGCAGACACTTCTCAAAAAATAATAAATATTCATTAACTCATATTGTTCATAATGTTTAGAAAAAAATAAAAATTAGAAAAATGAAATTGAATTTTAAAAACATATAAAAAAACTCAAAATAAAAAGTAAAACTCAAAAAAATGCAAAATTGGAAAATTGTAAATTAAATTGAAAAATTAAAGAAAATGAATTTAAATTTTACAAAATAAGTTATAAATATAAAAAACATGTCAAAACATTAAAAAAACTTGAGAAGTATATTTTAATGTAGCATTTTTAAATAGATAGTATATTTTATTTTATAAAATATAAAAATCAAAAATTTTATAAAAAAATGTAAAATGGTTAAAAAAAATCGATAATCTTAAAATTATCAAAAATAAATAACATAAGATAAAAATATTTTGAAAATATTAAATAATACGGAGTATTAATTCTATTATTTGAGAACGTTCTAAAAGGCTCTGAAATAAATATATGATATTTTAAAACAATAGAAAAATCAAATTAAAATGTAAACAAGGTTCTTAGAATTAAAAACACTAAATTACAAATTGTTTAAATATTGAAAATCGAAAATACAAAAGTAAAAAAAAATAACAAAAATGAAAAATTTAAAAAATTTAAAACTTGCAATAATGAACTTATACACTTTAGATATTATTATTATTATGATCAATTAATTATTACTTTTGTTGCATATTGTTTCTTTGTGTTTTTTATTGTTTCTTCCTGTTTCTTTTTGTTTATTCATAAATCCAAATTTACCATCTTAGGTGTTTATATGTGTGTATGTGTGTGATTTTTTATTCCAAATAAGTAAGGAATATAAATATAAATATACATAGACAAAAAAATCAAAATCAATATGCAACATTATGTAACAAAAAGCAACATGTATAATAAAAAGCAACAAGATGCAATCAAAAGCAACAAAAAGGAACACGATGCATAAATCCAAAAGAGAATTTTTTTTTATTGTTTATTTATGTTTCCTGTCATTGGTTTATATTCATAAATCCAAAGTTATCAATTCTGAGTTTTTCTTACTTCAAAGAAGTAGCAAAAATAAATAAAAACCTAAATAAACAACAAAAAACAAGATCAACAATAAAACAAAAATAAGTAACACAATGCAACAAAATGCAACACCGTGCAACAAAATACACTAGGAGGCAACAAAAAGCAACCCATTCAATGCAATAAAAAGAAACAAAAAATACATAAAAGTATCACATCAATTGTGTAATTCAATCTAGCATTTCAATTTATTACATATATATATGTATCTATCATATAATTTGGCTTTCCTTCATATCACTTCTTTTTATGCATCTTAACACACATTTTTTCAAGGTTGAATATCTTGTCTTCACTTTCCATGATAGTCTTCGTTTTATTGTTAAAAATCAATAAAGATAAAGCTTATTTTGTTCATCCCAAATAAATAAAGCATATATGAGTAAAACATTAGAATACATGTACAACACAACGAGGGAATACATTTGACAACATTGTGTAAAGATAAAAGACACGGTTTTGATGCTCAAATCCAAAGATTTCATCAACTACTCAGTCATGTTGTATTAAATTACTGATTTGGGATGTGCTACATCTTTCATCTTTCTGGTCAGAAAAATCTTTTATCAAACACATGGATATACTTCTTGTCCACAGAATAGGCAATGGCAGAACGTACATTAAGTACAACAATAACACCTACATCCTTGGTAGCTCTTGGTAACCTGCATTTGAGTATCACTGAAGCTCAAAACACAATACGAATTAGAGCAATTTCTATACGAATTAAGATTTTTTCATTCCATTAAAAAAACAAGCAGCAGGGGGCAAACAACTGGCCGCAACAGAGATTATTTCCCCTTTCTTCTGAAAGGGCCCCAGTAACAAGAAGAAGACCGAGAGCATTTTTTCTCTTCCTTTTTCTGGAATGGCCGCAGCAGCAACCAAGAGAGGAGAACCAAGGCATGTGGAGTGATACATTTGATCAAATTGCATCGCAAAGAGATCCAACATACCAAGAACACTAATTTCAGCGCCTGTCAGAATTGTTGCACTAATGTTAAAAATACATTAGGATTGGTAAGAAATACATTCACAAGGGGATGTAATTGCGATATGCTACTTTGATTTACTAATGTCATCCATCAATATCCAACATATTTTGCTTCTCTCCACATTCCAACTCTACAATTATATCCCCACATGCCAAAAAATAGATAAAAGTAATTAATTATACAGGAGATAGCCTTCCATCAAGCCTTAATTTGAATCTGGTTTGGCATGACAGTTGGAAGTATATGAATATTGTACATATACCAAAGCAAGAAGACAATCACTTATAGTCTAAGCCCAAACCCAATAGACAACACGCTCCAAGTCTCCGTAGAGATGTGTGGATATAAGTATATAACCTATTGTTTTTTAGTTCTCTATTTCGATATATTATTTTCTGAAAATAAGTGATTTTTTAGTTTTAATGTTGAACTCTAATTTCAGTTGCTAATCATGGCTCAAATTTCATGATCAAAGCATTTTTGTGAGTTTGCATAAGCTCAAGAACAAAAATGAAAGATAATGACTTGTGCAAAGAAACTGGAAAATGATGAACTGCATCCACGGAACAGCAATCTAAGACGGCCCTTCTCCTATGCTATAAAAAATTGTAGATTGGGGGAATTTGAGAGTAGAGCGGTAGACGGTTGTCTTCTAGTCTGGTTGGTTAGAAATCCTGCTTTTGGAGGCAAGAACACGGCAGCAGGGAAGATTTTTATGTTATGCTTATTCCAAAAAGTTTGTGTTTATTTAAACCATACCGAATTCTTAATCGATTCACAAACAATTTTTCTAAATTAACAAATAAAATGATAAAAGACATATAGATAACATATAGAAAGGAGGAGAACTGAAGAGCATACCTGTGAGTAAATCAATTGAGTTGCTTGAACATAAGATTGAGAAAGCGATTGAAATCGCTTCTTGCCTTGAGCTTCTCGTCGTCGTTGATGGCTTTGAGTTGGACCTGTATTGGAAATCGGCCAAGTGTCTCCATCAATGTCGAGGAAGAAGATGAATGCCTAGCTAATTCACCGTAGAGTAATTCCCCGTGGGTTCCTGCCAACTTTTGTCTTCATTGATGGAGCCTGAAGGAACTTCATCGTCGATTCACCAAGGGATGCACTGCGTATGTTTTAATTTAGGGTGTGGATTACTTTTGAAATAAAAAATGTTAAAGTGAAAAGATGAAAGTCAGAAAATGAAAACAAAACACTTGTGTGACATATGAAATGTGATGCCTAAAATGGAACCGTACGGGTAATTTCCACAATCTGAAAAATCGGCTGCCCGTTCAGACACGGTGCAAGTGTGCAACCCAGCCCAACATAAACCTTAAAGAACCTGGAATTTTGACTAAATTTCACTGTTGGTCATACGAGTTTTATATCAGTTCTACATTTAGTCTATGTCTTTCACTTTATCCATTTTTGCTACTTGACTAATGTTTTTTAATCATTTGTGTTCCTTTTCCGGTGATTTTAACCACCGAAAACATTGCCAGAAGGACAATATATGAACGAAAACTCAATAGTCATGTATCAAAAGTGGACAAAGTGAAAGATGCGAATTAAATGTGGAATTGACCTAAAACTCATAAGACCAAAAGTGGAATTTACTATGGACTTTTTAACAATATAATGCAAAAGTTCACCAATATAATATAGGTATCAAGCCCTACCAATCAGTGAGAATGCACAAGCCTTACCCAAATCTACACTACTACATCTTGTGAACATATACGGTGTTGGAAAAATGTGTTGAAAATTACATTAAATGATCAATTTGGGGCAATGTTTTGAGTTAGGTCCACTACCGATTTGGGCGGGGTCAAAGTGGTTTCAGATTATCCTTGTTAAGGGCTACAATTTGATATATGGTAAACTCAAAACGGATAAGGGTGAATGAGAAATTGGTTCTCGAAGTTCACTCGTTAAAATGGCAAAACTGGGAAAATGATGGGTTTCTAGTGGCATTTATCCCACACTTGAAAACTCAAGGGATTTTCACCCCATTATAAAGGAAACCCCATTTGAAGGAGTTAAGATTCTTAGGTGGAAAGACTCTCTTCGCGCGCAGGGGGAGGGGGGTGCCGATCAAATCCCGAAAACGGGGGAGGAAAACCGCGACTTGCGTGCGCGGACGACCTGCGGACACGAATGTCGTGCAAAAATCTAGCTTTCAAAGACGATTTAATTTTTGTTTCTTCCTGTAACGTTTCTTATTTTTTTTTCAGACGGAGAGAACTGCTCCACTTCTGTTCAGACCAGAAGAGGGTTCTGTTCTCAACAGAATCGCTCATCTTCTGTCCGGAACAGAAGAGGGTCTCACCAGAACCGCTCCGCTTCTGTTCACAACAGAAAGGCTCAAGGTATTTTGCTCGCAACAAAAAGGCTCGAGGTATTCTGGACCGTTACAGCAGTAAATGCCCAACGTTCTTATCATTTAATGCAACG